ACTAACCACTTGGCCACATTTCCACGAGTGCCGTGGATCACAGGGCATGTGTGAATCACAAGAAAGGCCTTCCTGCGACACAAGAGCACTCGTGGAAATGTGGCCGAGTGGTTAGTGTGTCAAGCTCACATGCTGCACTGTCACGGTTCGACTCCCGCTATGGGTCGAAACTGCAGTCCACTGGTGCCTGGATGAGAACAACTTTTGCGAAAGCAAGGCGGTGCGAAATTCATCGGAAACGCAGCTCTACTCATACCATCGTGGAAAAATTCGACTACCAGTACCAAAATAGAGTGAATACATCTCATACCTACGAAAAATGTACATAAAAGCCTTAAAGCCAAAAAGTTATGTGATATTTCTTCATGCATAGTGATCACAATTTCGTGATAATATTGTCCTATTAATGCCCTGATAGGTGGCAGGAACGGTGAAAGAGAGCTCTGCACCGGGACCGAAGAGGACTACCTCGAGGACGGTGCAAATATGAGCGTCCATTTAAAGAAAGATGACTGAATAGTTAAGATAGGCCAACTGACCTCTTCATCGCAAACTTTCACCAAAATACGAAAGTCGCTTCAACGGGTTTTCATCATTGCAAGGCCATTTTACAGTCGTCGTGTGACATTAACTGCCTTCAGCAGAGCATGGACACATCCATAAAATCCATATGATAACTAGACTCAATGCAATTCGGAAGTGTTTTTCAATCCAATTAGATCTACTCCACAGCCGTACAATGTTTATTTATTAGTTTTTAATATCAAATGATTGTGGATTTTTTCGCAAATATTCTAGCGAACAAACGAATTGACAAAAGGGCCCCATGGGATGGTGGCAGCTCCAAATGTTCCCATCTACGACAATGTTAGTTTCTTTTAAAGGAATCGATTCAACGTGGATCTCATCGCTATCCAACTAGGTGACTATTTTGTGTGCATGTCGAATGTGATGTGAATTGGTGCACTAGCAAACACTGATGGGAAGCAATGTTCGACTTACCATCTGCATGGAAGAGCCGCCAGTCTCGTCCAGCCTTTCGGACAGAGCGTCCATCTGGAAGCTGAAGTCATTGGCTTGTCGTTCGGCCTGGAAAGCGAAAACAATTGGTTAAGAACACGACCATATGAAGCCACAACAGTGACGGACACCTCGATTGATCAGAGAAAAGATTCTACAATTTAGACAGATCACGTTCGACGACAGCCAAGTGTCAATTCTTTTTTTCTGCATAACTGGGGGCAACAGTTTGTAAGTTAAAAAGGGAGAATATAGCATACACTGCAAAGTACCGTCTCATTTCGAGTGGGTTTGATGAAGAGGTTCCAAGATAAATCACACCAGAAGAAGACATCTGATTCCAATTAAGCGGCTATCCTTGAACTTTACTGGAAAATTCTCATCGACGTTGTGCCCGAGGCAATCTCCTTCGATTCCGATGGAAACCTGTTCAGCTTCAATCCGTCGTCTTTAAAGGAGACTGCCTCGTCGATGTCGTCAAGCGGAATGGTCCAGAAAGGCCAAACGACAGGTGGGCAAGAGTGATCCGCCATTGTCTTACGGTCGGATTGACCCTAGAAGTTTTTCATCACACACTTTCATTCGAAATGGAAGCGAGACTGCTCGGTACCAACATTTTTCTTTGAAGATATCCTCGTTCCTTGCTCTGTTCCCATTCTTCCGATATCGTCTACTTCCGTCTGACACCAGACTGGAATGAGCCGAGATCAATGCGTTGAATTGGTGGTCTAGGCGATAGATATGCCCGTTTTTTAATGGGCCGAATGGGCTGGAAGTGAGTTTACAATAACCTTTGACATTCTAAAATTATTTTTCATTTTATAAGCATGCATTAGAGAATATCAATTACAGCTAGGTTGCTAGGATTTAAAAAAATGCACTTTTATGATAAATTCTAACATACCCTCGCACGAGCATCTCTTTCCAAATCTAGCAGGTCTTCCAACTCTCGAATACGACTCTGCAATAGATAGAACAGGGGGAAAGTGTTTTGCAATGATGACTACTGGGAAAGTCTTTAGATTTATCTTGAGCCGAATAGCAAACATTGATAAAGCAAATCAGAAAAAAATGTATGCTCCGAATGGGCTTTTGACTTAATTCGCTCAATTGGGAAGTTAAGTGGTGCTAGTCGCAGGAGCCAAAAGAGACCCAGATAATTGGGCAATAATGAAAATTAGATAATTATGTAATAAGCGGCTAGACACGCATAAACTGCTAAAAGGTAGCAGAAAATTATTCTGCAGCTAACTCAAATCGGGCCGACCTCATTGAGGCTGTGAAGGCAGTTTTTGCATAAATTCTGGCCGCGTCTAAGGCAGGCGTGAATTGGGACCTCGAAAATCGGACAGCACAGAAGGGTCCAAAGACAAAAGATAATTTAATTTAACGCGATATTACCTCAAGTCGGGTCTGGGTGGGAGATGTTCCTCTGTATATGGTTCGTGAGATCTTCACGTGGCTCTCACTTTCGTGGCTCATGTCGATGTCTCTGCTGGGCCCCGTGGTGTTGGTGCGGGAAGAAAAGAAAAATCACTGAGTCTTCTTGGATGAAGAGTACAGAAATGAGAGAGATAGGAGTCCTCTTCCTTGTGCTATCTCTCTCTCACACACTCTCTCTCGCTCGCTCGCTCTCGCTGTGTCGTTGCCTGGAGTAGCTGGCTCCTTCCGAGTTGTCGAAGGAACTTGCTGTGGTACTTCCGGTTGTACGAGCCGACTGCAGCGGCAGAGTTAACAGCTCAAACGGGCAGTAGTGACTTCCTCTTCGAAGACTAAAGCCGGAGTCGCGGTGAAGAGGATATAGCAGAAGGTAACAAATGTGAAGCTTAAAAGTCTCGAGGGCAACGGACGCACAGGCGACCAGTCGGGCAGAGGGCAGCCCGACGACAACTTGAGCCCGGTCGATCTGGTCTCTGTCTCCAACGGGCCTGGCGATCCAGCGAACCGCGATGCAGGATCCCATCAGTCTGGCAGCCGGACAGAGGCGCGCTTGGCAGCACATGCGGTGCACCCGAGTTCGATGCGCGCCCGTCCGCCCGCCCTCGGCCGGCCTCTTCTTCTCGCCTCCTGTACCACATCAACCCTCCGCTTTCCGCTCTCCGCCGACCTGCCCCAGCCCGGACGTCCCGCAGCCGAGCCGCATGCCCTCGGCCGGCTTCAATGCAGACCAGAGACTGGCCGAGCCAACATGAAAGTGCAGTCGAACGTGTGTGTGCTTGGGATCCCGGTGTGTTGGTGCACGACTGCATGGGGTGTGTGTGTGTGTATGTGTGCATTCGGCCCATTTGCCTGGCCTGGCTGCTTTGGGCAAAGAGGACCGATGAGGCTGGTTGGAGGAGATCCCACTCGGGCCGACCACCCCGACCACCCCGACCAGCTCGGTCGGTGTATCGTGGGGCTCGCCAAGTCGTGGCGTGGGATTTGAGATGGCTGCAGAGAGGGCGCGACTCCGAGAGCCCATTTCTTCAGGCCTACCTGCACGAGAGAGGGCGGGTGGCACAGCAAGACAGTCGGGTGGGGCGGAGTCCGTTTTGTGGAAATACAGTTGGCCTGACGACTGATGCCATGGGGCAGATCGACACAAAGGTCTACCTACCATAGGCCTGATAAACGGTCCAGGCCCAGACGCCATCGACCCGTTGCCTGCTTACGTGCCAATGTACTCGTTGTCCCTCAATCTACTGTGGTTGCCATGACGACAAAGAGACACGCCAGCAGTGGTAGTGGTTTGGGCTGGGGTGAAAGAGAGAATTGAATGCAAACTTGGCCTACTTAAGAGTTACACATTCGGAAGGAATGGGGAAAAGCAAGGGACTACTATCAAAGCAAATTATATTGGACATTGGCACAAAAGCAGAATATTGCCATATCACTGGACAAGTTTTGCTCCAAAGGAAGCTAAAGTGCTGTCTCGGAAAGGACAAATGTCGGTGCGCTAAACAGGGACAAAATGAAGGTCGGTCGGCCGGCCGGCCCTATTGGAGGCGAAATTTTTTAAGAATGCAACTGTAGCTTCATAATTTTGCAGGCAGCAAAGCAAAAAGGAGATTGCGGCAATAGCATCAAACTAGCAGAATATACACGCTTTCATAACTGGGCTTTGATCCCATGCGTGCTCACTCACTTAATGACTTGAACGAGTAAATAATATAGGCTTACAAATAGTTCAGAGGAGATGACATTTAGGAAATAAATTAGCCTCTTTAACTATTGATCAATGGAAAGCCAAAAAGTGAAGCGGAAATAAATCAACGAAAGATAATATCCTTACTTGGTTATATATAGGGTTTATATATTTTTTTAACTTTTTTCTCAACATGGCCTTAAAGATGTAGTCTTTAAATGGCTAAGCTGTATTGACAACGAAAATTAATCGATAAACTAAGTAGTACGACATTATGATATATTGGTTTATAATAAATCTAACTGGCTTTCGATGAATCTCGTAAGATCTATCTTTATTTCATGTGAAAGTTTGTATAGTAGAGATGACAAGTTTATTATAAGCAAGAGGAGACAGCAGATTTTCGTGGTATACTGGCTCTTGATCCTTCTGAATTGTCCAGGCCAAGGGATTGTTAAGGGGAACATCATTTAGTATGAAAGTGCATGAAGAACAGATTCGTTGGTCGATCTCATCAGATGAGGATGGAGGAATCTCGTTGTACTGCAGCCGTTTGGCTTTGATACGATATTCATTTT